AAAACCACACAAAACCTTAAACCCCGAAGCCCCAAAACACAAAAACCCTAAACAACCCTAAAGCTTCCCTAAACCCTAAACCCTAAACCCTAAACCCCTAAACCCCTAAACTCCTAAACCCTAAAGCCTAAAGCTTGAGCGTTTTAGCGTTTCGATCCGCTGCCTCGATAGTCTATGAAGTCGGGCTTTCCCACAGTGCTGGAGCCTGACGTCCGGGTCGGTCTCTACGAGTTCCGTGTGGGTGGTTGCCGAAAATTAGGGGTACCTTATTTTGGGGTTCTTATAATAAGGATCCTATTATTTAGGGTACTATATTGGGGTCCCCTATTTTCGGAAACTCCCATGTGCGTCGGGGATAATAGAGTGTTACAAGAACTCATCGGAATAAGGTATTCAGGTACAAGTTGTGACTCGCTACGAGGTCACTAGTCGTGAACCCATATGCTGGAAGTTCCATATGACCTACCCTCAGGAAGCATTACCGACCGAAATGTGGGTTTCTGAAAGTAGGGGACCCTAATATAGTACCCTAAATAGTAGGATCCTTGTTGTAGGACCCCCTAAACCCTAAACCCTAAACCCTCAAAATAAGGTACACCCTTACTTTCGGAAACTCTCAAAGATGCCTTTAAGTACCTATTGGGGCATCTTCAGACAAACGCGGCTGGTGACTTTCTGGCTGGTGCTAGAGTTTTGTTAGGGGCTTCGAGAATTAGAATAAGATTCCTTTAAGGGGTTCCTTAAAAGGGTTACCATCAGGGCTACCATAAGGGTTTAGGGTATGGGGGCTTTGATAATGAGAATAGGGTTTTGGGTCTAGCCCCCTTTGTAAAAAGGACCCTCAAACGGACCCGAATATAGAGAACTACCCAGAAAGAGCCCCCTTGTCAACCCTCAACCCTAAACCCATTGTAGTACCCTAATTATACAAACCCTCGCTCTCCTCCTCACCGTCGACTTCCTTTGGCTCGAGCTTTTGCTCGGAACTGGTTGAGACTTAGGCCCCGCTAACCCTCAACCACTGAAAAAGCGGTTCGGCACACATTCTAGTAGAGTTTTACACAGATTGTCCAACACGATAATTAACAAGTCAGATAATGCACACACATGTAACGTATCGAATCTATCTGATCTGTCTACCTGTCTGTCTATCAACCAGCTACCCATTTATCTGCCTTTTCGAAGCCTCCTCTAAGGGTACAGAGCCTGCTTCACGCGGATTCGAGTTTGAGAGTCTTCAACCCCACGGCCAAAAAAGGCTGATTGTAGCTGCAAAAGCACACAAACAGCACCTATATCGTAGCCCTGAAAGTGGCCCTTCTTTAACCCCTCTAATGTCCCTCACAGTAGCCGTTACAGTAGCCGTACCTGAAAGACCGAAGCCACAGTAAGGGCGACAAAAAGGGTTAATGTAATGGTGGGCATAAGAGCCCGCACCCGTGCCCCTTAGCCAGGACGCAGTAGTCGCTGACGCCATGCATCTCCCGAAGGACAGCAGCCTGAAACGAGATCTGTTGGTGTTTAGGGTTTAGGGTTCCGTCGAGAATTGGAGGCGGAAGCTTTGAGGGCTCAGTGGCTAGCATTCTTTCCCTAAGCCGTCAACCCTGAACCCCGTTTTGTATGTTCTAACGTTCTAAGGCCTGTGCAGCTGTTTGAGGTCACAGCCTTCGTGGGCGTCCACAGTGCAGGCTTTCAGCGCCCTCCAAAATCCAGCCCTCCAAATCAGACTACCACAGCAAACTCAACTCCTATCAAGCCTCAACGCTTTGGGACCAAGCTCTGAGTATTTTAGCCGTACGATAGTCTTTGTATAGTGTTCTTATAGGATTCAGAGGTTTTCGGTGCAAGTTCGACTGTTCCCTAAACCCTAAACCCTAAACCCCAGAGGTTTTCGGTGTTAAGTTCGAGAGTTCATAAACGCACCAAAGCCTGAGCAGCTCGCCTCCCTCTCGGCCGAAGCAGAGGGACGAGCGACCTGCTGATGTAGGGTTTAGGGTTTAGGGCTTAGGGTTTAGGGTTTAGGGTTCAGGGTTTAAGGTTTCGAGTTTAAGGTTTCGGGTTTAGGTTTAGG